ACAGAGGTGAGAGGAGTAAAAGGTACAACAGCAAGCCTTTCTGAAGGAAGATTACAGATGTTGATTAATTCTTGATACTGATAGAACTGTGTGTATTTTTTAAAAAATTATCGACACCCTTGAGTAAAATAGAAAAGAGGACATAGAATTTTCAATTTCTAGGCAAAACCAAAACAGAACAAAACATTAAATCAATCAGGTAAAATTCAGAAATTTTAAAAAAGAAGAAAGCATAGTAAATAGAAATAACAAAATAGTATGACAGGAATAAGAACAAACATCATTATTGACAATTTACCTCAGTTAAATGCCTCTATAAATATGAAGTCTTGGTTTAAAACACACACTCAAACCGAAACAAAACCTTTGCTGTCGAGTCGATTCTAACTCTTAGTGACCCTATAAGACTGAGTAGAACTGCCCTATAGGGTTTCCAATGAGCGGCTGGTGGATTCAAACTGCTGACCTTTTGGTTAGCAGCCGAGCTCTTAGCCACTGTGCCACCAAGACTCCAAAACACACACAGACACACTAAATACTTCATCAAAATTTAAAATTTGGGGGCATCAAAAGACTTTAGCAATGAAATGAAGAGATAGCCTTCAGAATGGGATAAAATATTTGGGTATTACATATCTGACAAGTGTTTAATATCTAAAACATATTTTAAAAACTCCTACAACTCAACATAAAAGAGATAATCTAATTAAAAAATGAGCAAAGGACTAAAAATAGACATTTTACCAAAGAAAATATACAAATGGCCAATAAGCAGATGAAAAGATGATCATCGTCATTAGCCATTAGGGAACTGTAAAAGAGAACCACAGTGACATACCAGTTCATCTCCCCTCTACGATGGCTATTATCAGAAAAAACAGAAAATAACCAATTGGAACCTTCATTCATTGCTGGTGGGATTGTAAAGTGGTGCAGCCATTGTGGACAAGAGAATGGTGGTTCTTCAAAAAGTTAAAAGTAGAACTACCATAATATCAAGCCAGTTGCTGTTGAGCTGATTTGGGTCCTTGGCAATCCCATGTGTGTCAGAGTAGAACTGTGCTCTGTAGGGCCTTCAATGCTGATTTATGAAAAGTAGCTCTTCAGGCCTTTCTACCAAGGCATGTTTGGGTGGACTCAAACCACCAGTCTCTTGGTTAGCAGCAAGCAAGTTGACTATTTGTATGCACAGGGACTCCAGAACTACCATATGACCCAGCAATTCCATTCTTAGGTATATACCCAAAAGCATTGAAAGCAGAGGCTCAAACAGATACCTGTATACCAGCGTTTATTGTAGCATTATTTACAATAGCCAAAAGGTAAAAACAACCCAAGTGTCCATCAACAGGTGATGGATAAGCAAAACGTGGTGTATCCATACAATGGAATATTATTCAACCGTAAAGAGAAATGAAGTTCTGATACATGCTATGATATGGATGAACCTTGAAAACATTGTGCGGAGTGAAATGAGCCAGACATAAAAGGACAAACATGGTATCATCCCATTTATATGAAATATCCAGGATAGACAGAAAGTAAATTAGTGGTTACCATGGGCTGGGGCAAGGGGCTGTGAAATAAAATTATAAGTTTTGTTTTATGAAAGCAGAGACAGTTCTCTTGCCCATGACACTAAAAGCCACCTTAGTATTAGAAGTCTATTTGCTGTCTAATCATATAGAAGTGTATATAATTTTTAAAGCTTATCATTATGCCTTAAACTGTAACTAACCTTTAGAAGCTGCTTGCCTTGTTTCACACAGTTGTATTAAGATAATCAGCTCACTGAAACACTCGAAACTTGTTCTTTCAGAAAACAATAGAAGATTAATGAACACTTCTGTTTCTAAGACTCCCGAGGCCTTACAATCATGGCTCACTGATCTTGCGATTGTCTTAGGAAGATTTCTCTTCTATTCTTTACAATGTTTGAGCACATATTGCTCTCTTATAAGATTTATGTGTTCTGATATAATTGTCAACCAATCAAACTTTTTTGTTCAAAGTTCCTGATGAAATCCTGTATGTTGTTGTTGTTAGGTGCCGTCGAATCGGTTCCAACTCATAGCGACTCTGTGTAGAATGGAAGGAAACACTGCCCGGTCCTGCACCATCCTCACAATAGTCGCTACGCTTGAGCCCGTTGTTGCAGCCACTGTCAATCCATCTCGTTGAGGGTCTTCCTCTTTTTTGTGAAAAATATATAAGTACCCTGAAAATCTTAATCCGAGCCCTGATCTGCTTGGTAATGATGTGCTGTTCCACTTTAAAGTTGTCTATTACACCTGCAGAGCAATCTGTTAACGGTGTTCTGAGTTGTTCGTTTTTGACACCGTGAATAGGGAGTTATTGCTTAATGGGTACAGAGTTTATGTTTGTGGTGATAAAAAAATCTTGAAAACACATGTAGAAATTGCTGAATTATTGTTTGTTCTGCTGTTTGTCTTTTCAGCAACAACAACAAAATAAATAAATTTTCTTTTTAAAAAAAGAGTAACAGGATTAGAAAAACTATAACAGGAAAGAAAAAAGCAAATTGAAGGACTCAAAAAAAAAAAGTCTTAGAAACATATGTAAAAAAATTTTGCACAGCATGGTGAATGAAATTAATGTCACTAGATTATACACTTAAAAATGTTAAAATGGCAAATTTCGTGTTATATACATAGTTTACCATGGCAAAAAATAAAAATGATAAAGTCTAGTGACTTCTGATGTCTTTATGAACTTTCAATTGTATCTAACACATATACACAAATAATATCTGCACAAACCATAATGTACAGCTCAATGAATTTTCCACAAAGCAAATATATTCATGATCACCCACATAAAGAGCCAGAAGTAGTGGTACCCAAAAGCCCCTTCCCATCCCCATTTCCAGAACTAACCCCCCAAGGGTAACCACTGTCTTTTCTAATGCAATAGGTTAGTTTTGCTTGTTTTTGGATTTTATAAAATTGGAATTATATAGTATGAACTCATTGTGTAGTGTACCTTTTATACAATATTAATTGTATGTTGTTGTTTGTGGCTATGGTTCCTTCATTCTCAATGCTATATAGTATTTCATTGTATGATTGTCTCACAATTTATTTATCTGTTCTACTGTTGATTGGCATTTGGGGAATTTCCAGTTTGGGGCTATTACAAACAGTGCTGCTAAGAACTTTGTTGTACATTTCTTCTTGTGAATTTAGTTACGTGATTGGCTGGTAACAGAAAGGGTGGAGATTTGAGTCCACCCAGAGGTGCCTCAGAAGCAATGCCTGGCAATCTACTTCTGAAAAATCAGCCATTAAAAACCCTATGGAGCACAGTTCTACTCTGACATACACTGGGTCACCATGAGTTGGAGTCGACTTGATGGCAACTGGTTACATACCTAGGAGTGAAATGGTGGACCATATGGTATACATAAGGAGCCCTAGTGGCACAGTCGTTAAGCGCTTGACTGCTAACTGAGAGGTCAGTGGTTCAAACTAGCCAGCTGCTCCTTGGGAGAAAGATATGGCAGTCTGCTTCCATAAAGATTACAGCCCTGAAAACCCTATGGGACAGATGTACTCTGTACTATAGGGTCACTGTGACTCGGAATTGACTCAATGGCAATGGGTTTGATATTGTGTCTTAGTCATCTAGTGCTGCTATAACACAAACACCACAAGTGGATGGCTTTGACAAAGAGAAATTTATTCTCTCACAGTCTAGTAGGCTAGAAGTCCAAATTCAAGGTGCCAGTTCCACAGCAAGTCTTTCACTCTCTGTCGGCTCTCGGGAAGGGTCCTTGTCATTAGTCTTCCCAGGTGGAGGAGCTTCTCAGTGCAGGGACCCTAAGTCCAAAGGACACGCTGTTCTCCTGGTTCTTGTTTCATGAGGATTCCCAGTCTCTCTGCTTGCTTGTCTTTTATATCTCAAAAGAGACTGACATAAGACACAACCTAGATAGAGTCCTGCCTCATTAACATAACTGTCTCTAACCCTGCCTCATTAGCATCACAGAGGTAGAATTCACTACACATAAGAAAATAACATCAGATGACAAAATGGTGGACAATCACAAAATATTGGGAATCATCGTCTAGCCAAGTTAACAGATGTTTTTAAGGGACACAATTTAATCCATAACATATGGTATACATATTTTCATTTAAATAAGATCCTGCCAAAAGTTTTCCAGTTTATACTCCCACCAGCAACATGTGAGATTTCTGGTGTTTCCACCCCTTAAAGGCCAAACCTCGGACTAGGAAGAAAGTTTCCTTCTTCAACATCGTGAACCCTCCACTCCTGTTCCAGGATTGACCTCTTTTTAGTGTGATAGATCATGAGTATGTCTGTATCCTTCAGTAGAAACTCCATCTTCACTCAGAGGTGCTGATCTTGGCCCATGTTCCTACCAAGTTACACAATTGATTGGCATTTCTGCCTATCTCAAAGTTGGGGTTATATCACAACAAGTGGACATCACTAGTTCAGCTAAAGCAGGTCTGCACAAGTTCAGTGGAATTTCTTTTTGGTCTCTCCATATCATAAGTTCAAAAATACTTGGAGCTAATTCCTCTCAAGAGGTCACTTACACATGTATTTATAGAAGCTTGCATAGTGCTTTGCTTCTACACTCCAGTCTTCTTGAAGTTCAGGTGGACAGTGATCTGTTTTATCTGGCCATCGAGGCTGCCTAGTGATGGCAATGGGTAGGCACACTCACCATGGCCTCCATGTTCTGACACCTGTTGTGTCTTGCAGGGTTAATTGTATAGTTGAAATTACCCCCACCTTGTGGTTAACCCAACGGGGCACCCTAATTTTCAGTCCCTCATGCTTAGAGCTGGAGCCCTGGTGGTGCAGTGGTTAAGAACTTGACTGCTAACCAAAAAGTCAGCAGTTTGAATCCACCAGCTGCTCCCTGGAAACCCTATGGGGAAGTTCTACTCTGTCCTATAGAGTCGCTATCGCTATGAGTCAGAATCAACTCAGTGACAACGGGTTCGTTTTTTTTTTTTTTTTTATTCTCAGAGCTTAGAAGCTAGAAGGTCATGCTAAGGATGTTGTCCACTTAACTATACTTGGTCTTAGCCAAAAGGCTGAGAAGCAATGTGTTCACTTAATTACTAACAGGTCTTTCCAAGGCATACTCAAAGGTATTTCTATTTATTTGGTTCCATCTACATAATATCTCATTAGAATTCCTGTTTTGGGTGCATATGTGCTGATCCAGATTTCTTCCCCAGTTTTTGCGTTTCTTTGGTCATTTTAATGGTGATATGAGCAGAAATGAAATTTAGCATGAGGTTAAAAAAATCATCACCTTGATTTGTGATACTTTATTGTTCGTTAAATATACATAAATGTTACTGCTTTTTTTCTTCTCAACTGGCTATTCTCGACTGTAACTCTGTTCTACTATTTTGGTCTGGAGTTCCTGGGTGGTGCAAATGATTACGCACTTGACTGCTAATGAAAAGTTTAGAGGTTCCTGTCCACCCAGAGGTGCTTGGGAAGAAATGCCTGGTGATCTGCTTCCAAAAAATCAGCCATTGAAAACCCTATGGAGCATAGTTCTACTGTGACACAAGGGTGGTCACCATGAGTTGGAGTCAACTTGAGGGCAATTGGTGTGGTGTATATTTTGGCCTATCTATTCTTGGCCTCTGGGGTCACTGGGTAGTGCAAATGGCTAACCCACTCAGCTGCTAACCAAAAGCTCAGAAGTTCAAGTCCTTTCAGAGGTGCCTCAGAAGAAAGGCTTGGGAATCTACTTCTGAAAGGTCACAGCCTTGAAAACTATATGGAGTACAGTTGTACTGTGACACACATCGGGTTATCATGAATCAGAATCAACTCAACAGCAACTGATTACTGGTTTATTGTCCATTTTCATGCTAATTTCATTTTTAGAAATCAAAACATGTTATTATATTATTATTATTTGATAGTTAGACCAGTTCTGAAAAAAAAAAATAAAGTAGGAGGTTTTATTCTTCTAGATGGCAAGGATTACTGTGTAGCTACAGTAATTAAGACAGTGTGTGACTGGTGGAGGAATAGACACACGGCTAATAGTGGAGATGGGACACCCCTCCAGGCAGTTGTCTCTAGAAGCTGTGTTCTTAATCTCTCTACTAAACTGCCAATCTATGACAGGACATTTTGCATTTCAAAAAAAACATAATATCCCTTGTTAACTTGTTTAAGTCAATGTAAAGTTGAACATTCTAGTGCCTGGAGAATATAGCAAGCTAACTCAGTCTGCTGTTTCCTCCCTCAAACTCAACTCTAAAGTTCTTACAAAGTAAGAGGGGGTTCAATTCATTTCAGAAGATAATAATTAAAACTTTGAGGTCCCTGGGGAGACAAAAGATGACTGAATCCTCATGTGGGAGGGAAAGAGTAGCCCAGAAATGGATTCTGTTGTCATCACCTCAAAGTAGGCAAAGATGAGAACTTGTCTCTCTGGTTCATTCCTCTTTCCTCAGCTCTTTGCACATTGATAGCTTAAGAGAAGACGGCAGAAATCATTTCCTTACACAGTGCCTGGGATACAGTAGCAGTTCAAATAAACATTTGATGAATAAAAGAAGATATTGGGGAACAAACATGATGAGAACAGAAATGGTGACACAACGTGGCTTGCCTACAGTCCCTGAAGCACATCTGGCTATAATGGTTATGAACATCCTGAACATTTTCCTAAAGTTTTATGGCAATCCTTATTGCTGCTCTGTCCTTATCACTGGTTTTCCCCTCTGATTCCTCCAAGTATTATGCCTTCTTCACTTCAGAGTAGATGGCTGAGGAGTCCTGGGGGAGACACACAGGAGTAAGGCCCTAAGTGAGCAAGAAAAGAACATGGTGAAGGGAAGAGAGATGAAGAGCTTCCAAAAAGTCTAGCTCACCTTGATCTCCAGAAATGTTTTTCTGATATTTGCTGTGGAGAGAAAAAAAGAAAAAAATATTGAGCTATCAGCACCTACTTAGACTCTACTCCCAGACTTTATGCTCCAGGGCACAGAACTATTATGTTTAATGTATAGATTTCCATCTTCTCCTGTTGTTCTTCTGTGAAATCCATCCCTTAAGGTTGTTCACCATGAAGTTCCTCTAAGACTCCATCTATCCTCTAAGCCCTCCACCAACACTTACTAATAAAGCCCTTCCTCTCTCTGGTGCAGTTTCCATGAATTATTTTTCTGATAATTTTTTTTCCTTTTGCCTTTTCTAACCAACACAATATTCTTTTGTATTGGCTCTCTAACCAACACAGTATTCTTCCAGGGATCATTTTCCCATCATTCCTTCATGTTTCTTAGACTAACATCCATGGGTGGTTCACCTCACTATATAGAAGGGAACTGGAGGCACAGGCAAGGGTGGACAAACCCTGAGTCACACATAGGGTTCTTGCAGAATGAGTCTGGCAGTAGGGGCTGCTCAGTGATGTCTGCTTCTTTCTCCCTTCTTTCTAGATGGGGATTGACCCACTGCCTCAAGGCAGTTCCTACTCATAGCAACCCTATAGGAAGGAGTAGAACTGGCCCTCAGGGTTTTCAAGACTGTAAATCTTTACTGAAGCAGACTGCCTCATCTTTCTCCAGCAGAGCAGCTGGTGGGTTCAAACCACTGACCTTTCAGTTGGAAGTTGAGCACTTTAACCACTGGGCCACCAGGGCTCCCTTAGATGGGCATGTTAGGACTAGATCTCCTACCCTCTCCCTAACTACAGATCACTACCTAGAGGGCTTGGAAGATGTGCATCCGCTGGCACAGTGGGGATGATTGTGCCTTTTCAATTCTGCTGGACAAGTCACAGAGCAGGAGAGCAACAGGATAATCAACTCTCTATATAAAGCTGTAGCAGCATAATTCTGAGCAGAGCTAGCAGAGGACCCAACTTCAGAGACTGAGAGGAGAGTAAGTGGCTGACTACTGACTAGGAAATTGTCTGAGTTGCCAGCAGCTACTGACTCTATTGGAGACAGAAGAGCACAGACCAAAAGGCAGGTATTAGTGTTGCAGCTGCAAGGTCACTGGACAGCAACTTCAAGGACACGGCTCTTCCCTGCTACAGAACTGTTGTCTCAGTTCTTGCAAAGTTACAGGTCAAAGTGAAAATCCTCTGGATGCATCTAGATGCATTCAGCGACTCCTCCCATCACACTCCAAGAAGTCAGGTTCCTCTTCAACTCAGATAATTCCTCCTGGCTCAACACTCCTCCCTCAACGTTAGATATTCTCTCTCTCGCTTGATTTCCCTCTTTTTGTCTTGTATCTCAGATTCTCCCTGATTGTATAGTCCCATCAAAATGAAGACTCAACATCTGCCCAAAAGCAAGACGAGAGGCAGGAAAGGAAAGGAAAACTGGATGAATAGACAAGGAGAACCTGGGGGTGGAAAGGGAAAGGGGAAGAGTGATGACACAATGCAGGGATTGCAACCAATGTCACAAAACAATTTGTGTATAAATTTTTGAATGAGAAACTAATTTGTGCTGTAAACTTTCACCTAAAGCACAATAAAATTTTTTAAAAAATGAAGACTCAATGGACTATCTGTTTGTTTTTTTTTTTTTCCTACCTTCTTTTCAAGAACCTGCCTCCAGGTTTTCATTTAGACCTACAGATTTTACATCAAGGGCAATTGATGTGATGAAGTCTTTATTGCACACACAGCACCACAACACAGGCCCCACTTCCCTGGGAAGAGATATCTGACAAGAACCACTTTGCAGTTTCTCACCTGAGCCTTCTGTCTGCTGGGTGCACCATACCTGGGAATAAACTACATCCGTATCTGCAGCACCCACTAGTGGAAGAAGACAAGAGTCACAGATGTCATAGCTAATGGCTCAAACTTTAAACATGTCTACCCAATTCTCTGTTTTATAACTAACTTCCCAATCCCAGCATGATCCTGAGGAATTAACTAGGACTCCTGAGGGTTGGGTGTCTAGGAAACCATCCATGCCATATTCACTTTATGGTCTTTTCCCCTGCTCCCTCTTCCCTCCTTGGCTCAGTCCCGGGGCCCCTTCCAATGAGGAGACTCACCATTCATATATGCTGGCTGCAGCTCCTCTGTCACTGTGAGTGGGCTGGGGTGAGTGGTCTCATCATTGGCATACATGAGCTGCAGCTCCTCCACTGCTGGGAGTGGGCTGGAGTAGGTGGATTCTTGAGAGCCTGGGCTGAAAGGGCCTCTGTGAGAAAGTGAACTGTTACTTGATAATCCCAAGGACAGTGAGTGAGAACAGAAATGAGAGAGGTTTGGGAGAGAGGGTGTAAGAAGCCAGGCAGACATCACTCTTCTTGGGAGATATTATGGACCTTTGTATAGACTATCTGTGTGTGGTCTCTCAAGGTGTCCCAAGATGAAACCAGATTGTTACTGCAGGCGAGCATCCAGAGACAGGGCCAGAGATAGGTTACTCAATCACAAAGTATTTTTTTTCTAGTATAACTATTTTTTACGTTCACATTCGTTACATTTATTTTATTGGTGTTGAAGAAAGTATTTTTGTAATAGGGTAGCTACTCTGGTTTGGCAGAAAATTTCTGTTCCTCCTCTTTGGCTTTTTCAAAAGTTATATATAAGACAATGATATTACCCTAGATATATTTTTTTTCCTCTTATAAACTCTCATAGGACTTTACCTGCATCTTACTCATTATTTTCTTTTCTTTCTCATATTGTACATATCATACATTTCCTTTAATGAAGTATGTTCCTTGAGGAAATAAACTCCATGGTACCCATATTTCATCCTTCTTAACATCTAACAAAAACTCGTACATTATAGGTACTCAATAAATAATCTTGAACATACAAATTAAGAAATTAATTTTAAAATATCTAATTCAAGCCAAGACCACACCCAGGATCCTATGGACCATCCTACGACAGGGCACCGAAGCATAAATATACAGAAGTAGAGAAATTAGGAAGTATTATGGCCTTGAAATCTATGTGCAAACAGAGTAATAATAAGTGTTTAAAACTGTGAATGAGGAGACCCCCTACAGCTGCAATTTTGAATAGGAAGTCTTCTCACCTGGATGCATTATAGGCAGAACTTCCTCCTGAAAAGCAGATAAAGGAACATTTATTTCAGCATGGGGAGCTTTATCTCTCAAAGCTTTTGCATGGCCTAACTGTGTATAATCAGCTGGTAAAATATACAATATAGAATAGGAATTCAATTGTATTTCTTCCAAATGGCTATCTATTTATTCCAGTACTATCAGTTGAATAATCCATTCTTTTTCCCATTGATTTGAAATGCCACTTCAAATGGCAAACCCCACAGGCCATTTGCCCTGGTTTCTGGATTTTTTATTCTGTTCTATTGTTTCCTTGTCTAATCGTGTGCCTATAAAATGATGTTTAATTATTGTAATATACCATATGTTTTAAGATTTAATATACTTAATGGGCTATCATCTCAGCATGTGTTTCCACAATCGCCAGCACATGAGAAGAGGGCATGGAAGGTCAATCCTTGACTCCTAAAAGCTCCCACCAGGAATGACACATGCCACTTCTGCTAACTTTTTCTTTACTTTTAACTTTAAGGGGTCATGGAAATGCAAAATTCCCACCTCCCCAGAAGTAAAGGAGAACTGGATATTGGTGAATATTAACATCTTTTGCAAGATTACTTACTAGAACATAAATAAAGTTGTCCAAAGGCTACTCCTCCAAAACCACAATAGGCACAGAGGATTTAACAGGAACATTCCATAAAATCTTTAAAGAATAGACAATTGTATTGCTATATGAACTGTTCCAAAACATATAAAAAGGAGGAAAACTTTGAACTTCCTTTTGTGAAGATAAAATAACATTGAGTACTGTCAAAGAGAAAAACATCTCTGAGCCTGATAAGGTTAAAAGCAAAGAGTTTTATTAAGAGAAGTACAATTCATGAATTAGACAACATTCAATAACAAAATGCTCTAAAGTCTTAAAGGGGAGAGTGATTTTTATATATAAGGGTTGGGGGTTACTTATGAGTCACAAGTAAACGTTTCATAATGTCAGTTAATCTAATTTCCATCACAGACTTTCTGGGGACAACTTGCAGAAGTGTTCTTCCCATAACGTTCTGCATAAACATTTTCTCCTGAGAACAGAACATTTTTGTCATACTTTTCCTGAACACTTTTGTCACAAATTTTGGCAAGCATAGCCACATAATTGTTCACCCAAAAAAGAAGAGGATTGCACATATTCTGAAAGCAGAAGCAAGGATCTAGGGAAACGTGAATTTGATTCAGACTTGTATCAGCCACCATAGTCATGCCAAGCACCTCAGTTTTAAAATGCTCTTACACACTTCCCTCTCCTGATCATGAATCTGTGTAGAGATTCCTTGGTCACTATTATAAGAGTGCTTTAGATTGTTTAATTACATTTCAGATCTTGTTTTCATTTTCTGGTATTTGGCTATTAATTTCTTCACCATGCCATAGCTTAGACACTCTGCTTCTGTGATCCTCTGGTTGGGGCATGTGCAGAGCAAGGTCACATTTGGAGGAACAATTTCACATTTCTAAAAGACTAGCTAAAGGTGTGAAACTGGTGTTCTTTACAAACATGTTTTTTTTTAAAGATACATAATTCTATGCATTGTCAGGGAAATAGTGTCTTGATTTAAATTGTTAGAGAAACAATTCATACAACATTTGATCAGTCCAAAAATAATTATTACAACAACTAAGATAATTGATCTAGTCTGGAATAAAGAATGTAACTAAGAGCCAATACTATTAGATAACCAGTTAAAAATATCAAGAAAAAGAATATTAGGCTTCCAGGCAACATGGCACTATAGACAGAAGCACCACTCTGTCCCTCCAGAGCAAAGATCCGAAAAACTAAGGCAATCAGAGACACACGTAAATCCTGAAACCTTAAACATCAGATGAAGAGATAAATAACTGAGCCAAGCACTGAATGGAATAAGAAATCGACCAAGAACAAAGATAAAGGAGAGATACTTGCAGAGGTCCCCCATCAGCTATCACAGCACGGATCTGCCATCTTGGACTCCGATCAGAGATCGGTGAAGAACGGGTACTAGAAAGCAGCTTCATGGAGTTTCCAGCAGGAGACAACAACTGGTAACCAGTGATACCCTCTTTCCCATCCCCCACCCTTCTTCACCGCCAATCAGCCTCCTCTGCTTCTAGCGGTCACAGTCTCTTGGACGGGAAGCACCAGCTTCACCCTGGAGCCCCTTGGCTTCCACCCATCCACACTGGCCAGCTCCCTAAGTGTCATTTGTTGGCTGCTGGTGTTGCTTTTTTCCACTTCTTTAGATTTCTTCCTTCCCTTTCACCACCCCCTCCACTTCTCTCAAATACCTAGCTCCGTGTGCCATCTTTGCTTCTTCCTGAAAGGCTGCAGGTGCGGCTCCACTGAGGGACTGCTTCCCGGCCAGTGCCATCACCTGGTGGGACCCCCCCAGGGCTTTTTTTGCTTATTTGTTCTGGTTTGTTCTGTTTTGGTTTGTTTGTTTGTTTGAGTTCTTTTTCTTTTCTCAGCTTGGGAGCCCCTTCTGTCCAGGCAGTGCTGTGGGGCTTGGGGAACTACTCACTTACTCTGAGCAGATGCACAGTGATCTCCCTGGGAGCATTTCTTTTTTCTTTTGTTTTTTGTTTGTTTGTTTGTTTTGTTCTGTTTGTTTCTTTTCTTCTCTCTCTTTTTCCTTATTTGTCTTTCTTTATTTCCAGTTTCTTGTCTCTCTATACTTACCTTCTTTTACTGTCTCCTGAATACCTGGTGCTGTGTGACAGCTCTACCCTTTCTAGCCAGGCTGTACTTCACGGCCTGGAAGCAACTTCTCCAGTCTTAGCAGCCACACTGGTGAGATACTTGCAGGCTTTTTTTTTTCTTTTTTTCTCTAATATTTATTCATTTTTTTCTTTCACCCTTTCTGGTTTTGTTTTTTTCCATTTCTCAGTCTCTCATCTCTCCACTCCAACAGCAAGCTCCCTTAGCATACTTTTTTGTTGTTTGTTTGTGTGTATGTTTTTGCCTCCTGTTCCTCTCTCCTCTCTATCTTCTTTCCCATACCCATCGTAGCTCCACACATCACAATCTCCCCTCTCCTTCCTGCCTACCTGCACCATGCACCGAACATCACAACCCCAAGCAGCATAGGCACCGCCTACCAGAACCTGCCTTGCACTGATTCCCGACCAGCCCTGTCAGCCCTAGTATGTGCCACAAAAAAAATCCATCCCAGTAACTCCCCTTCAGCTGGACCTGCCTCATTGTGCCATACCTAAGTGACTGACCCTGCCATTGGAGAAGGAAGTGAAAAGTATCATGTCAACAGATGAGCAAACAACAAAGAGTGCACAACCCGCCTGCTCACACATAACCAAATAAAACAAAAAAGCAAGATGAAACAAAAAAATACAATCAAGAAATGAGGACAATAACTACTGAGTGTCCCAAAGACAGTAGACAATATCAAAACATATACAAAAACAGGACAGGATGGTTCCAGTAGGCATCCAAAATAAAACACCAAATGACTTTCCAGTAGAAGAAAAGGCACTAGAACTACCTGATAGGGAATTCAAATCTCTAATACTCAGAATTATCCAAGAGTTGAAGCAAAAAGCAGACAAAAATGAGGAAAAATAGACAAATTCATGGAAAAGGCAGACAAATTCATGGAAAAGGCAGACAAATTCATGGAAAATACACCCAAAACATGGAAGAATTCACGAAAATAATACAGGAACAAAATACTAAAAATAAATTCAAAAATAGAAATCATACAAATACAACATTTAGAAATCCAAAAGATAAACAACAAGATTTCAGAAATGGACAGTGTCATAGAAGGGCTGAGGAGCAGGTTTGAAATGATGGAATACAGGATCAGTGGAATTGAAGACAAACACTTGGATACAACCCTATTTGAGGAAAAATCAAAAAACGGAACAAAGAAAAATGAAGAGACCCTGAGAATTATGTGAGATACAATAAAAAGCAAAAATCTGCAGGTGATCAGAGTTCCAGAACAAGGAGAGAAAACAGAAACCACAGAGAGGACATTGAAGAATTGCCGACATAAAATCTCCCCAATATCATGAAAGATGAAAAGTTGGCTGTGATGGTTAAGATTGTATGTCAACTTGGCAGACCATTATTCTCAGTGTTTTAGTAGTTGTATAATGTTGTGATCACCCCCATGATGGAATCTGTGGAGGCGGGGCCTGTGGCAGCTCACCGCCCTCTCAGTTTCATCTCTCTGACTTCTTCCGGTTACCGTCTGCCTGCTCGCCTTGCCAAAGTTTTTGGCTTGCTCCAGACTCAGCAGCTGCCTCTTGTTGTCTCACCTCCAGTTCATGGGATTTGAGCTAGCAGCTTACCTGTTGATCTCGGAATTTGTCGAACTTCTCAGCCTGCAAGCAAGAGTCTGGTTCCCTGACTTGCCAACCTTGGATTCACCAGCCCCTGCAGCTATGTGAATCAGGAGAAACCTGATTGTTTTGTCTGCTGATCTTGGAATTCATTGACCTTCACAGCCTGTGAGTGGGAGCCCCTCTCTGATCTGCCAACCTTGGGTTCACCAGCTTCTGCAACTACGCGAACTGGAAGAGACTTCTACCCTGCTCTGTGGACTTGGGACGTTTTAGCCTCTACAATTGCGTGAGCTATTTCCTTGATATAAATCTCTCTCTATATATATTTATACTCTTACTGGTTTTGCTTCTCTAGAGAACCCAGCCTAAGACATTTGGTACTGAGAGAGTGGGGTGCTGCTCTAACAGATACCTAAAATGTGGAAGCTGTTTTAAAACTGTGAATGGATAGATGTGTGGCAGTGACAGAGGACCAGCAGGAGCAGAGAAACTGCAGCAGCAGAGAAGCGGCAGCTGTAGAGAACCAACAGAAGCAGAGCCAGGAAACTGGTGCAAGATGGTGCTGGAGCCAACCCATGGAGTGAGAGAGTTGAATGCCTGTGAGCAGGAGGCTTCAGCAGAGTGGGGTGCCTCTGAGCACTTATCGGTGGAGCTAAGCTTGCCAATCCACAGAGCAAGAGAGCTGAGTGCCTGTG